GGAAACGTTCCCACCTGCAGGTCACTTATTGGAAACGTTCCCACCTGCAGGTCACTTATTGGAAACGTTCCCACCTGCAGGTCACTTATTGGAAATGTTCCCTGGAACAAGAGCATGGCTGCATCCTAGTGTTAAGAACAGATGTCTAACACATACCTCTGTCCTCGATGGAATATCCTCGGCGTCTGCGAGCTCAGAGCTAAAGGTATACTCTGATTCATTGCTGCTGTGCGTGGAGTCTGTCCTCTTGTGTCCAGGTTTAGGCACAGTCTGCAAGGCAAGTACAAGTAATACAGCACAGCTCAGCCGGTGACAACTTAAGAGTGCCCTCTTGTCTCTGTTCTGACTTGTACTGATGCCCAAGTGATGTGATCCATGCAGTCCTGACCAAGTCCGTACAAAGAGCAGGACTGGCAGAAAGATATATACACAACATGACAAGAATAGAGGTAAAATCAACCATCGGAGGAAAATTATCTGTGATTGTCAGAAAGTTCCCTTTGGGTCTTTAAAGTCCTGCATGGCCCATCACACTGGGGCACCGCACTCTATCCACGCAATGTCCTTTGCGTTGTGATCAAACAAAACTTAACAGACAGTTCAGAAAATTATTGAAGAGTATGCATGATCGCTGTACTGCATGGTAAGTGGGTACACGTGAAGAGGTGTTCGCATTCCGCCACACTTCCGCACCAAGTTTATGCAGTCTCTAGAGGAAGCAGTGAGAAGAACAGGCAGTAGGCATGAGGCAAGAAGGCCGTGCTAAGAAACCTCCTCAGGCCACTGGGTTATTTGGGGGCTAGGTGAGACTTTTATGCATGTGATAGCTACAAAATTCATGCTCAGCAAGCTCATGTTGAATAGTAAGGTCAAACAGTTACAGCGCAAGGCTGGCCCAACTTGTACCTAATGCATAAGAAGACCCCAAACCTCTGAAGCTCCAAAAGCAAAACTGCAAGAAAAAGAATCACCAAACATGAAGGCAAAGGCACATCCACTCTTATGAGTGCTTGCCACTTACACTTTCCAGCAAAGAGTACTGTTGCATGGGGTAACATTTAACAAAATTATTGTATCATCAAGAAAGAGATGGGTCTACATAAACACTAGGACAGTGATTTTTAATAAATTTCTTTTAAATGGGTATGGGCCAGGGATATAGCTAGGGTAGAGAACTTGCCTGGCATGTGTAAGGTCATGGGTTCCATGCCCAGCATGAGACCGAAAGAAAAGTTCCTCATTTACCCCGCATGGATTTATCACTAAACAAAGAACAACTTACAGTCTGAAGTGAAGAACACTGTTCTCTGGTGCTGGTTCCCTGGACTGAGATGAGGGTGCTGCACATGTGAAGCAAACACGCTATTGGCTGCTTGCTGGACGTGCTACTTGTTATTTAACGCAACTTCCGGCCCCAGGGCCATGCTTAAGTGAAGAGTCTGAAGCTGAGAGCAGGGTAAGACTCCAGCTTAGCCACTTGCCTGTCCCTTGCCCCGTTTCAACAGGCCTTAGTTCGTCATTACAAAGAAGTAACATACTGTCTTGGGAGCTCATGCGTGACAAAACGGTGTACAGGTACAGCGGCGTGTCAGCATGTAATCAGCATCCCACTACTGAGAAACACTGCTGCTGCAACTGGTGAGTCTGCAGGAATTCAACAGCTGCCTCGACAGTGACCGTTCAAGCTTTTAGGGCTCTGTTTCCGTTTGTGTGTTATTCATTCAACTACAAGGACATGTACTTGGTCATCATGTTTCTCAAGATCTGCACCTTGCTCTTCTGCTCCTCACCTGTCATTTTCCCAGAATTCCTTCTCCTCCAGAACTTGTCCCTTCCTTTTGCCAATATTAATAATTCCACTGTGGACACGCTGGGTTCCTTAAGCCTGGGATTATCTTTCGACACTTCTCAAATCTGAATCCCCTTGCCTGACCCGACTTTCACTGTTACCCTTAGCCCTGCATCAATCTTTTCATCACAGGCTCTTGTGCCTATGAACTCTGGACAGCTGCATATTTTTGGAGCAAAACTTTATGCCCCTTCTTATACTAAGGCTGACAAGCCCTGAGGCTTAGCTCTGGCAATCGGTGACACTGGTAACTCATTTGTGCCTTCTGTGCCACGTATCACACAGACCACGAGAAGCCCCGCACTCTATCAAGTCACCTCCACAGTTTCCTATGTTCCTTTGAAAAGTCTGTTGACTGAAAAATGCAGCGCTAGCTCTAGACGGCAGCACTGAGTGCTCCGCTGCAGAACAGACGAAACAGCAGCCAAGCGCCCAGCTGCTGCGAAGTGCTACCTGAGCTTTAAAGAGAGGGCTATTAACCTCTTAGTTGTTCCATTTTATAAAAATCAAGATTTTATTTTCTTATCTTTTTATTTTAGGGAAGGTTCTACAGGGTGCTCAGGGTCTCACTACTAGATCGAACTCGTATTGATCCATCTGTTTCCAGCCTCCTAAGAGCTGGGATTACAGGCATGCGCCACCACGCCCAGTCTCAGTCGCTGTCTCAGGGCGCCCAGGGGACAGGGCCAGCATGGCAGGCCCAAGGATTGAACCCCCGGCCCCTGCACCTGCTTGCAGGTGCTTTAATCTGTTGAGCTATTTGGCTGGCCCTAAAATCAGGATTTTAAAACATTCTTTGCGATTTTTGGCAAAGGTTCTCTGGAAAGAGTGAAGTCTTGATTACATCTGGAGATGGAAAGGTGATCTAGCAGCAGTGAGCTGCAGGCAAGCAACCTCGGATTCTCCCTTTTCTGACCCAGGAGGTCTGAGCATGTGTGTCCCAGGCATACAGTGGTGAAGAAGCAGGGCTAAAGATTAGAAACCAGCATTAAACTATCCTCAGAGCACTGCTGGGACTAAACACACAGCGAAAGGAGGTGGCCATTTCTACAGAGCCCCATGACCTCGCAGACCCCCTGCCAGAATATGCTCAGAGAGGGGTACACATGGCCTGTGCTTCTCTTGCTTTATTTTCTATAATTCACAAGGTACATGCTATTTAAATCATCTAAGAAATTCTGTAGGAAAAAAATCTGTTTAGATTGGTCGATTAACATGTATGTGATCCCAGAATCATTTCTCTTTGCCAGTGCTACATATTAACATTCCGAGGACCCAGGGCCTCAGAACACGCAGTGGGATGTGAAGCTCGGCTATCGGTTCTCCACAAGGGCTGGCACAGCTGCCAGGTAAAAAGAGTAAGTAAGAATGACCTCAATGCAAGTCTGGGGATGAGAACATGAAATGGAAGAACGGGCTCTCGAGCAAGATACGGGTGAGAAAGTGTGGAGGACACACGCTGCACAAGCGCACATGGAGAACACGGGAGTGAGGGCTGGCAAGGGCGCTCAGACTCGCCAGCGGGGAGGGCTGCGCTGCAGCTCCTGCTTGTCTTCTGTCACGGCGGCTCGGTGCAGTGTGAAATAGCGCCCAACGTGGGATTTGCATTAGTTATTTTAGCCTCTTAGACTAGATTTCCTCATCTGCACAGGGATGAGGACAGTCTTTTATGTTATGCAACCTCTTCTGTTTTGACTTTTTAAGCATCACATTTAAAGAACTCTGTCAGGAAGGTCTGAGTGGAAGCCAAATCCGAAGCAAATGCTGAATTACTCTGCTCTCCGCAAGAGGTATTTTAGCACATTTCTGGTCACTTGCACAATAGGCTACTTTAAGACTGACGCTCCTGGGGCAGTAGGGGCGACTCTTGTGGAGCTTTTAATGCTGCAAACAGCTGCTGAGGCAAAGCATAGGGAGGCAGAGAGCTCGGGAATCCACCCACTGCGAAGCAGAACTGCTCCAAGTACAAACAGCACATGGGCATTGGGAGCAGCCTTGAAACAAGATCCTTTATTTCTAAACAATAAGCTTGTCTTCTGGAGGGTTAACAACCTAAGTTTGCAGACCAAAATTAGAGAAAAAGGAGGGCCACAAGGAAAGCCAACATTTTGGCCCTAGCCTTCCAAGGTCAATTAAGACTCAGGACCTATGAGAACTTGTACTGTAACGTCATGTAACTCGGTAGTGTCCCAAATTTTCTGATCAAGGAGATGATGGGGCCAAAGAGGAAAGCAATCGATGATGTAGAGTGTGCCTAAGGAGAGTCACATGGGGAGAAGACACTCTCTCAGGCTTTCACAGAGAGCACATTGGCCAAGCAATGGCCATGACTCATCCACATGGCTGCACTGACAAAGGTTCTACAAGCTGAGGTACAGGATCTCAGGACAAATCCTGAGGGCATTTCACTGACCTTATCAGACCCAAAAGCTACAACTCTTGTTGCATAGGTCCTGCTTTACCTTGGTCTTAACCATCCAGCAGAAAAGTATAAAAATGAAGTATAAGAAGTAAAGCCATGCTGTTATGTTGAGCTGTAGGGGACTCAGGTCAACAATTTCTGACACTGCCAGTCAAGCAGAAGACCCAATACTATTATGGACTACTGGACTCTTTTAGAATATTTTGCTGAGTTTACACACCTATAATATTCAAATAATGGAACTTAACAAAAAAAGGGGGATATAGATGAATGTCCATTTTGTATATGTGTTTTCAAAGTGGTTAGGATAGATATATAATTACATTCTCTTAATGAATAGAGAGATTTGCTCTAATGGTGTTTGTAAATAGGATATCAAGTCCGCATCTTGTACAGCAATTAACCAGTAGGAAGAATGTATGCAATGTGTTAATTATTGAAACTGTTCTAATAATTTGGTTTGAAACTGTCTCATTGTTATTTGTTTCTCAATAAAATTATGGGAAGAAAATAAAAATAAGAAATAAAAAAGAGTAAAAAAATTATCTTACTAAGATCTAGAAGATTAGTATCTGCATTTATTTATTTATTTTTGTCTTTTTGTGACACAGTCGCACTCTGCACTTCAGGCTGGCCTGTGGGCTCACTTTGTAGCCCAGGCTGAACTCCAACTGGAAATTGCAACGCTCCTCCTGCCTCAGCCTCCCAAGTGCTGGGATTACAGGCAGGGCCAAGACAACACCAGTTCCCACCCTCCCACGCTCACCCCCACCCGGGGTACAGGGTCTGCATTTTGAGGAAAAAGCAATAGTTCTTTGCCCAGGATAGTATCAGGGCAATTGCATTATGCAAGGACCTCCAGAGAAGACGTAAAAACTTTGAAAGATATTCTAAAGTAGTCTAGCACTGTGCTGGCCTCTAGCATAAGAAATTATGTTTCTCTCTAGTAACTAAAGACACATTATTTGTTGGCTTACACCTGCTAGAACCCTTGTAAGTTGATGTATAATACCCTCAATTGACACATAATTGCAACAAACCAGGAAGTACAGAGAGCACAGACTCCATAGAAGAGGGGGAAAAGAAAGAAAAGAAAACATTTTAAAACAAAGAAGAGGGAGAGCCGCCAAGCTCAGAAAACCCTGGGCTAATGTGGCAAGTGCAAGACCACATTCAAGAAGACTTTGGTCCAATAGACCAGCACAAAGAATTTTTAGAGTGTTGTGATATTTAAAGATCCTCCACTAACCATCTCCAATTTGTCAATTATTCTGCAGCTGGGTATCAGCAACAAACTAATTCTGAGTGACAGTTTAGAGATACCCAGATTCTTTTTTTTTAAAGATGCAGAAGCCCAAGAAGTTTCCTTCCTATGAATATTCTGGAGGCTTTCAAGGGCAGTTTCAACTGCACGAGACGAGGTGGCTTTCCAGGTTGATTTGGGAAAAAAAAGATACTTTATTTCTAATAGAGGCTGACTCTTCTTTTTGTAAGACTTTATCTTGGAAAATACAATAAAACCCAGTGGGGGAAATAATTACATAAATGTTTGCTTTATATGCAAACTTTATATTGAAACATTTAATATATAAAACTAAGTCCTGCTATCCTGATGTTTCAGTACTACCTTAGATTTCATCTTGACCATAGGTATTTGGTTTTCCTGAAGTACTTACGGATGAAGTTCCATTGTTTCTGGGGTTCACTGAGAATTGATACGGTTCACCAGATGGGCAGAAGCGGACCACTCTGGGGCTGGGGGTGGGTACATGGAGTGTGCAGAGGCCCCTTTTTTGATTCTATTTACTTTTGTGTATGTTTAAAATGTCTCATTTAGAACAAGGAAAAGCCTGGACTCACCACCATCAGGGCCATCTCTTCCTTGAGGTCATCATACCGCTCTTCCAGGCGACTGAACTCATTCAGGAGGTTCTGGTATCTCAGCCTCTCATCATTCAGGTCAAGCTCCAGTTGCTTTGTTTCTTCCACTAGCTTTTTCTCCATTGTTTCTGAGGAGAGAAGGGACATGCGCTCAAGGGTGGTACAATAGGTGGCAAGTGTGACTTCCAGAGTCTCTGCATGGGTGTTAACTTTTAGAACCACTGTGCTCAGGGGCTGGCCAAATAGCTCAGCAGATTAAAGCACCTGCTTAGGGAGATGCAGAGACCAGGGTTCGATCCCTGGCGTGCCATGCCAGCCCTGCTCCCAGGACTACTGAGACTAGGTGTGGTGGCAAGTGCCTGTAATCCCAGTACTTGGGAGGCTGAAAACAGGAGGATCACTCCAAGTCTGATCTGTGTAGTGAGACCCTATAGACCTGTACTAAATACATGAGCCATCTCCCTGGCCCCCAATACATTAAATAAACAAAATAAAATAAAACTGTGGTCTGTAAAGAGTATCAAATAAATGCAGGCTAAGGAAAAATGTTCATTATCAATACTGGATGGAAAATACCTGTTCCATGTTATGCCTAAGATGTTTGATATTCAGACAGATAGTGAAGTTAAACCTAACTGCATATGTTGTAGGGTAATAATAAGCTTCTCTTCTGGAGGGTTAACAACCTAAGTTTGTAGACCAAAAATTAAGAGAAATAGAAGGGCTGCAAGGACAGCCAACATTTTGACCCTAGCCTTTCAAGGTCAGTGAAGACTTAAGACATAGGAGAACCTATACTGTAACATCATGTAACTCAATTGTGTCCCAAATTTTCTGATCAAGGAGATTATAGGGCCACAGAGCAATGTGATTGATGACATACAGTGTGCCTAAGGAGAGTCACCTGGAGAGAAAACATTCTCTCAGGCTTTCACAGAGAGCACATTGGCCAAGCAATGGCCGTAACTCATCCACATGGCTGACACTGACAAAGGATCTACAATCTGAGGTTCAGGTTTACAGGATAAATCCTGAGAGTACTTGACTGACCTTATCAGATACAAAAGTTACATTTCTTCCTATATAGGTCTTGCTTTACCCTGGTCTTAACCATCCAGCAGAAAAGTATAAAAATGAGGTATATAAAGTAAAGCCATATTAATATGCTGAAAGGCTCCTGTCAACAACCTCTGTGGATAACCCACTACAATTGTGGACTGCTGGACTGTGTTGGATTGTTTTGCTGAATTCACGCACCTATAGTACTTAGATGCCAATGGAATACCCATTTCTGACAAGACTAAACAAAAAAAGGGGATACAAAGGAAGGACCATTTTGGATCTGTATATTCAGAATAGTTATGATAGATACACAGCTACTTTTGCTTAATTCAATGAGAAGAAAGATTTGTACTAATAGTGTTTGGACAGGATATCCTGTCTGCATCTTGTACTATGGATAACCATTAAGAAGGTAACAATGTACAATGTATTAATTATTGAAACTGCCCTATTAAAAAAAATAAAAGGCATATTGGGATTGTAAAAAAAAAAAGGAAAACATGTTCAAGACAGAAGTAATTAGTTTCTAGAGCCAGTATAATAAAACAGTAGGACAAAAGCTGTGATACATAAAAGAACTTAGTAGATGAGTGCTGATACTGTTAATAAACTAACGTCTAATATATAATTCTTTGTAAATTATCACCATCTCAACTACCCCCAGAGGTGAGTGAGACCTTCTGCCGTGCTCTCAGGACCCCCCCAGACCCAGCCCAGGCCCAGCCAGTGTGTGGGAGAGCTTCTGCTCCGCTGCACCCGATCCCTCCGGACCCAGCCCAGGCAGGCGTATGAGTGAGACCATCTGCTGTGCTCTCAGGACCCCTCCAGACCCAGCCCAGGCAGGTGTAGAGGCCTGGGGTGAAACTCTCCAGCTGAAGTCCCTGCAGAGAGGCTGGGGGCCAGAACCACCCAGCTAATCCAGGAGCAGAACAGCTTGCCAGAGGGGCACAGCGGGTTCACTTCCATGGGCTGCAGCAGGAAGAAGCTGAGCACAGCAGCCAGACACAAGCCCAGCACATCGGGATGAGTTCAGACTTCATAGATCCAGACCTGGTAAGCTGAGACACTTTGCTAGACCCGATCTATGAGAGCATTCTCCTTCTTTCTCTCTTGACTGAGAAAGGGGGCAAAAGGTAACCGGGGAGAACTAGTCTGCCTGGAAGACCCCAGGTACGTCAAGGGGAGGGGACCAGACAGAACTTAGGGGGACTAACTTAAATACAAATTCCCAATTTAATATCTGCTTAGTTATAAAGACAACGCTTGCTCTTACTATCTGAAATATGAACCCATTAGTTACAAAAGTTTGTCAACTGCTAAATATCACTATCTATTGTTAGTGTTCCTAACTATAGTTCTGTAAATACAAAACTATAACTACCTTAACCATATAATCTCTCTTGGGTAAGAATTTCAGTAGGGGCTAAGTTTATAACTGCACCAAAGGTCAAAGGACAGTGCTATACAAAATGTCAAAGAGAAGGAGCACAATGCAACCTCAGGCCCCAAGCCACCCAGAACAAATGCAGGAGACACTAGCATAGAAGAAACTGGGAATCACACAACTGAAATCTCTGAATTGATAGTGTCTGAAGTAAAAAAACAACTGCATAAATGTATGCAGGAAATCAGATCAGAAATAACCTCTGAAGTAAAAAAAGAAAGGATAACTACAATGAAAGAATAACTGCTTCTCAAGAAGACACTGATAAAAAATAGAGGAGATGGGCTGGGGAGATGGCTCAGTGGAATAAGTGCTTCCCTGGCAAGCACAAGGGTCTGAGTTCAATCCCTGGTTCTGGAAGAAAAAAAAAATAGAGAAGAGAAAAACAATGGAAGCCTGGAATGAGCAATATAGGAAAGCAATAGATCTCATGAAGCAGAATCAAAGAGATGTAGAGGAACTTAAAATCTCATCCCAAGCTGGAAAAGCCGTTCGAATGAAAGTGAAGATAAGAGTTTCAGATCTTGAAGATGCCATCGCAGCTAGTGAAAAGGTAAGAAAAGATCTCTAAAAAAACAACTAGGATACAGGAAAAAATAATTCAACATCTGCAAGATGATGCAAAGATGAGCAACATGAGACTAATAGGCATCAATGAGAAAGAAGGAGTCAATCTGAGTTCAATCCCTGGTTCTGGAAGAAAAAAAAAAAAAATAGAGGAGAAGAGAAAAACAATGGAAGCCTGGAATGAGCAATATAGGAAAGCAATAGATCAAATGATATAAAAAGAATATGGGCAGAAGTAATAGCAGAAAACTTCCCAAATATGGGAAAACAATCTGACATTCAGGTAACAAAGGATATAGAACTCCAAATAACATCAACCCAATTAAAAACACCGAGACATATAATGGTCAAGATCCCAGAAATCCAGCACAAGAACAGTGTACTAAAAGCTGCTAGAGAGAGAAAAAAAAAAAAAAGATTACATTACAGGAAAACCCATCAGAATAACAGCAGATTTCTCTTCACAGACCATGAAGTCAAGAAGAGCATGGAGCAGAGTGCTTCAAGTCCTCTATGAAAACAAATTCCAGCCCAGACTATTATAACCTGCAAAACTCTCAAGTTTGACGGAGAAGTGAAATACTTCCATGACAAAGAACAAATAAAGAACTTAAGGATGACAAAGCCAACCCTATACAGACTACTAAAAGATATTCTAGAAAGGGACCAAAATGACCAGAACTCCATGAATGAGAACAGAAAGCACCCTCCAAATAGAGCAAACAATTAAACACAGGCAAAAAAAGGGGTAAACAACAGCAGGTAAATAACATGTCAATCATAAGTCAATACATCTCAATTATAATGATCAATGTAAATGGACTCAATTGACCAATTAAAAGAAATAGACTGGCACAGTGGATCAGGAAGCAAAACCCAACAATATGCTGTAACAGGAAACACATTTAACTCATAAAAAATTCACAGGCTCAAAGTCAAAGGATAGAAAACAATACTACACACCCCAGCACCTCAGAAAAAGCAGGAGTAGCAATCCTGTTTGCAGAGTCTCAACTTCAAACCAAGAATGATCAAACAAAATAAAGAGGGCCAGTACATACTGGTTAGGGGAAAAATTCAAGAGGAAGAAGTAACACTCATAACTATGTACGTACCAAACATGGGAGCATCCAACTATGTAAGACAAATCTTAATTGACATGAAAAATCTAATATCTAATACTACAATCTTAACAGGAGAGCGTAACACCCCCTTATCCCAAAAGGATAGGTCAAGCAGACCAAAATTAGCAAAGTAGCAAAACTGAGCCAGAACTTGGAACAAATAGACATAGTGGACATATACAGAGTATTCTACCCAACCACAGCTGAATACATACTTTTTTCAGCTGCACATGGGACGTTTTCTAAAATAGACCTAGTTATAGGTCATGCTTAAGTATATGCAAGAAAACAGAAATTATCCCATGCATATTATCTGACCAAAGTGCAGTGAAACTGGAAATAAGTGACAAAAGAAACCACAAAACCCCCATAAATACATGGAAATTAAACAATACCCTACTCAGCAACCAGTGGGCCACAGATGAAATTAAACTATATCTACAAGTCAATGAAAATTCAAGTACAACTTATGGGAATTTATGGGATGCAATGGAAACAGTTTGTAGAGGGAAATTCATAGCTGTCAACTCACACATTAGGAAAACAGAATGGGAACAGATAACTACCCTAATGTTGCAACTCAAACTCTAGAAAACGAAGAGCAAACCAAACCCAAAGCCCAAAGATGGGAGGAAATTATAAAGATTAGAGCAGAAATTAATGCAATCGAGATGAAGAAAACAATACAAAGAATTAATGAATCAAAAAGCTGGTTCTTTGAAAGATTAAATAAAACTGATAAACCCCTAGCTAACCTCATCAAAAAGAGGAAAGAAAAAACTCAAATTCAACTACCCCCAGAAACAGGAAATAGAGTAACAGTGTACAGTTCTCTATTTAAAAAATTAATTTTTTATTTTAGGTTGATAGCAACAACTGGATGATCTGAGGATAACATCCATTTTTTTCCAGCAAAACATAAATATGAACCAAGGCTCATAGAAGCAAGTACTGTATGCTCTCACTTATTTGTGGAAGCTTTAAAAAAAAGCCAATCTGGTACAGGAAGAGAGTGAAGCAGTGGTCAGAAGAGGAGAGGTGAGGAGGTGTTAGACAACGGATCTCAGACTGTAGTTCTACGGGAGGAACTGGCTCTGATGTTCACGGCACAGAGCTTCTCTAAGAATTCATGACGTCTTGCAACTAACCAGAAGAGCCTCCTGGTTACCTTGCCACAGAAATGGTCCATGAGAAGCTGGACACACTACCCTGACTTGTACGTACACTGCACATGTACGAATCATTGCACCTTACTCCAGAAATACATATAATTACATCAATTTAAAAATCCACAAGGACGGGCCATATAGCTCAGTGGACTAAAGTGCCTGCTTAGGCGGAGTGCAGTGACTGGGGTTCGATCCCCTGTATGCTGTGCCAGCCTCACCCCCAGGGCGTGCTGAGACAGGATTGAGACTGGGCGTGGTGGTACATGCCTGTAATCCCAGCACTTGGGAGGCTGAAAACAGGAGAATCACCCCAGGAGTCCAATCTGTGCAGTGAGACCTTGAAGAACAATACCAGATACAAAAGATTTTACAAAATAAAATAAATAAATACTAAGCATCTATACAAGAGTTTTTAGCACGTTTGTGTTACTAAACCAAGGGGACTTCTGTGAGCCACACTGATAAATCCTATGTGCCGACCAGGTTAACTCCCCAAAAGTTACTTGGGACACTGAAGAGCTCACACTGGTGCACAGCCAGGCTTACAAGTTCACTGCCTAATTCAACCAAAATACTCGACAGTCGTGGCCAGGGATGCAGTCTGGTGGTGCAGTGCCTGCCTGGAAGCATAAAGCCCCGAGTTCCACTCTTGGCACTTGTAACTTTGTTCGTTTACGCTGAATGTAGGGCCTTTGTACTGAGTTCTCCCTGTCCTTTTAAAAACTCTTCCTTTGGCCCAGGATCTTCTGAATCTCTTGAACTGTTCAGGATAGTCTCAAACTCCCACCTCTGTCTCCCAGGGCACTAGGATTATGGGCACATGCCACCACACTTGGCTGCAACTTTGCAGATTTACTGATAGCCTCCAAGTTTTAAAACATCCACGTTCTAAGCAACTTGTCACTGTACAGATATTTGTGTGGACTGTAAAACTCTGGGACGTGTGCAATTCCACTCACCTGTCATCTCTTTGGCCTGCTCCACGATGAGGTGATTGAGGGACTCTTTTTCCTGCTTCAGCAAAGTGTTTTCTTCCTTCAGGTTTGACACCAGCTACGGAACAGAAGCACAGACTGAGAAGGCCGCAGCAGACAGGGGAAGCCCGCACGCCAAGTGTAACTAGCACGCTGACAGAGCCTCCCGGAAGCGCTCCGTTTTCTCCGGGCCTGGCTCTGGGCTGCTGCCAGCTGCTGTACCAGCCTCTTTATAGCCCTACCACCGATGTCTTGCCCTCCTCAGTGGGCCAGGAATTCCTGGAGGACAAGCATGCTGACGGTGGTAGTTTTACTTTATACCTTGAACAATAAGCAATTGCCTGGCACCTAGTAAAACTGCTCTCAAGCAACACAATCACATTCTTCCCTCTGTAGCACAAAGTCCACATCACCCAGGATTCAAGCGAAGAGGTGCATGAGGGCAGCATGGGGACTTCAGTTTTGGAACCTTACTGAAGACTTTCTGATGCTCCCTGGTATTTGGCTAGTGAAACAAAATTTCCTTTTCATTGGCCAGTAAGAGTCTTGCAAGTGTGAGCTGTTTTATTATTTTGTTTTATTTATTTTTCATTCATGTATGTGGTTTAGGGTCTCACTATGCAGCTCCACGGTAGTGACTGTGGCAGTGGATGCACGGTGTCAACGTGATCTGGAAGCTGCAGTTCTGGGCTACACCCCCCACACCAGGGCAGGGAGGGTCCGTCCTGGGGAGAGACTGGCTCCACCCTGGGGCCTGAAGGGCCTGCTCTAGAGTGACCCAGCACAAAACGTGTATATAAAGGAGCTGAGGAAGGCTGCCCACACCCTTCCTGGAGAAGCCCCAGTCTTCGTCACCCCACTTTGCAGCTGCTTGATCTTCGCAGCCGCGCCACATCAGGGAGCTCTGGTCTTCATGGTGGAGCGCTACTCCTGCTGCTCCTTTGCTGTTTTCTGCCGCCGTGAACTACTGCTCTTTGTCTTGGAGCCAGTGAAGTATAGACTGAAACCTCCACAAGCTGTGAGCTAAATAAACCTTTCCTTCCTTCATTTTGAGTGTTGGGTATTTGTCCCAGCAACAAGTGAAAAGTAACTAAGACAGTGATCCTCCTATTTTCAGCCACCCAAGTGCTGGGATTACAGGTGTGCACCACCACACCGGGACTCAGTGGCTGGCTCAGCATGCCCCAGGGATGAGGCCAGCACGGCCTGCAGGACAGGGGATGGAACCTTAGTCCCTGCGCTTGCCAAAGCAGGTGCTTAGTCCACTGAACTATCTCACTGGCCCTGTGAGTTGTTTCATTTCATGTTTAAGTAAGTATTGTCCTCACCACAATGTCAATGTGCTTATCACCATAGAACTACACATTTAATTATGGTGAAAATGGTACATTTTATGTCACAATTAAAATAAAAAAGCACTGACCCTTAACTTCCTTATTTCTGATTGGATAAGGAGTTCCAGGCAGCAAAAACAGAAAGCAAAGGTAACTTTCAGAATACATAATTTTCTTAGTTCATCTTTGGGATAAAGTGTGTGCTTCTGATGAATGAAGTGTGACTTCTGTTCTCTCGGCCAAGGTTCCAGACTCTAAATGAAGCAAAAGGTGGTGGCAAAGCTCTCCTCGTGAGGGATTTGCGAGTGCAGGGGCACTGTCACCATGGGGATGGCAAGCACTTCGTCCCACGGCAGTCAGTCCACCACATGCTCCTGGGGGTGGCCAGGTCCCCTGCCCTGCACTGGTGGCCTGCATATCACTCTCAGGACAAGGCCCACGTCCCCCAGGGCTCTCAGAACAGCTGCTCTGGCCAGGGCTGTGCAGCATTCACCTGGCTGCTCAGCCAGACCTGGGCAAGCTGGCTCAGCAACACTCTCCAGCAGACTCTGCTGTACACCCTGGGCTCAGAACCAGCTGGGTGTCACTTCTGGGCTTCCCATCATTTGCCCAGGGAGAAATCTGGCTGCCACTATGGAATGTCGGCACCCTGCCATCACAACGCTTCATCAAGAGAACTAATGGTAATGTCTGACAGCTAGCCTGCTGGAGAGCAGAGATGTTGAATAAAAAGGAAGGAGGACTCCACAGTCATGCCTGCTACGAGACTAGACAGGCAGAAAGCTGGCTCTGAAAAGGAAGGCTCCAGCCCCAAGGCCCCGGCACTGTGCAGAGCAGAGGGTCCTGAGCACTCCTGGGGACCAAAGAGACCCACAAGAGCAAAACAGACCCTCAATGCCCCAGTGTGTCCCTTCGAGTGCACACTTGAATTCCAGGACAAGCTTGCCGCAGCAGAACGCTACCACAGACCAGCAGGGCTTCCATACCGGAGTCAGGCCTCCTCGAGACCTGAAGGCGCACTCCACACGGCCCCCGAACATGTGGAGGCTGAGGCTGTGCCGACGCAGCGCTCACCACCCTACCACAGAGCACATCAGTGCCGCTCGGCAGCGAAGTGGACATGGGGCACTCTGCTCATCCCCGAAGACTCGAAACCTGGTCGCTGCTTTCCAGTCAGTCTTAATGTCCAAGCCCTTTCAGGAACGTCTATCTCATCACTACTTCAGCAACTTTCTCTGTGTTTCCTAAGGACTCGACAGGAGTGAAAGCAGGTTTGTTGCCAGGAAGCACTCGTCAGGTGGTGCGTCTTGGAGGATTCTACCTGCACCACAGCTCTCGGCTGCACAACCACCCAGCTTTCTCCCAGCTGGGCTTCTTCACAGCCTCAGTAGAGTCTCCAGGACTGTGGGCTAACATAGAATACTTCTGGCTCGTAATTTATCACCTCAGAAATTTGGTTAAAGCAATAGAAAACAGATGAGCAGAAAAGGCATGTGGCTATTGTTGTGCGCATGGGGAGGTACTGGAGACTGAACCCATGGCCTTCACCTTGGTTGCATCTCTACCCTTTTTTAAACTTGTTTGACGCTGTGTTTTACTAAGTTGGTAAGTTACCAGGCTAGGCTCAAACTTGCAATCCTCCCGCCTCCAACTCCTAGGGAACTGGAATTCCAAGTGTGCAACATCACGTCTGGCTACTTTTATATTTTAAGCAGTCCTGTGCCTCTATTCTAACCACAGTGAAAAGATTCTAATATAAGACCTACAGCTTGCTCACTGGTCATGTGGGAGAAGTGGCTGGGAGAGGAATCATAAACCTACCTCGACTCAGGCCAATGTTGCGCCATGTGGACAGGCCAAAACAACAGCATGAGACTGTGTAAGAGGAGGGGTAGGGAAGCCAGCTCCTACCTGCTCGGTTTCTTGCTTGTATCTATCTGCCCGTTCTTCAATGGACTTTTTCTCTGACCGAGTTTGATCCAGGTCCTTCTGGAGCTTGGCAAGCTCTTCCTGCAGACTAAGGACACGGCCGGTGGCGACCTTGGCTTCCTCCTCGCTTAGCTGGAGACGCTCGAGATCACTTCGTAGTTTCTCTGTCTCAGAGTTGTACGTTCCTTCCAGGTTGGTCATTTTCTCCATGAGACATTTGTAGTCTTTGTTCTTTAAACACACACATGAGCAATGATAAGCAAATATGCACTTACAATATGAACAAATTTTTTTGGTAAGAAAACCGAACTTACAAACCAGATTTGTGCTACGTCATCAGAGCACTGAAGGCAGCTCACCAGATCTGTAATACTGAAACATCTGCACCACACATGGCATTAAAGCCGACTTTCAGCTGCACAAACCTGGCTAAGATGATGGCACATCTCCCTGTGCAGGAAGTAGCTGGGGACGAGGGCAACCATTTCTGCCTGCACTACATCACAGCGATGCAGCCAGTGCCTCTTAGGGAGAAGGCAGCTGTGAGTCATGCTTTTCTCACAACTACAAGTTCAGTTCCACAGAAAAATCTTACTCCTGATTGCCAGTCCACAAATAGGGATTTTATATATATATATGAATGAGAGAGGTTGGTGTGTTAGTATAAGCCACGTACTATCTAAATGATGTACAGGCAAGATAAAATGGACAAAAATCATAAGTATTTTACAAATCTCTGTTTATTAAGTCGAATTGCCTTTCATCCACTCAGAAAACCTGATAAATCCTGCTGTTCCGTTTGCTGTATTTATCATTTCCAGAATTACCCTTATAGCACTTATACGTGCTAAAGTGTTACTAAGTACTGCTCAGCAGCTGAGTGTTTATCTCTGCGAGTAAGCTGTGCATTCCTTGGAAGCAAGGGCCTCTCCCCGATCCTTTGCTGCTTCAGTGCTACACAACTCACTGAAAGGAGATCCTCCTGCATGCTAACAGCAGTGGTGAAAGAACTCTGCAAAGTACGAAGTGCGCCACGACTCCTGCTCGCAAAGGTCTTGAGTGGTTCAGGTGAGGGTTACAGTGTTTTGAAGGACAAATTCCTGTCCTTGCCTTGCAGTTGCCACCCAACCCAAAGGCGTCCCATTCCGTGCTGTGTCTGTCACTACCGTATTTGTCCTAAGACTGAAATGCCAGGCAGCAACACTGGCCATAACCAGTGCTCCTGCAGGCATGCTCCACTTCTGGGCTTCTCTTTCTGACAAACCTGCTCATCCACTTTGCGCTGCAGCTGCATGATCTTGTTCTCCATGCCGATGTGCAGCTTCTTATAGCGTTCCACAGAGCGCGCCTCAATCTTGAGCTTCTTCAGCTCGCGCTTGGCCATCATCCTCCGGAAGCAGCACTGAAGGTAGATGATGGCGTGCAGGCAACGCCGGTAGCGGATGCGAGCCAGCCAGCCCCGGACCCACTTCTGAATGATGACAGCCTTGTGCTGCCGAAGCATCTGCAGGGAAGGGCAGAGGCAGAGAGCGTCAGCCTGAGGAATAACACGGCTCACTCCTGTTGACCCATGTCAGTGAGAAAACAGAGGTCACCCAAAGGTAGGATGCAGATGTTAAACCAAGTGTGTACAAGCGGGATTATACACACCACAGAAATATGGAGGCATAGCATTATTTACAGGTGATTCAAAAAGTAGGCTTTAGGGCTAGGGGGATAGCTCATTAGATTAAGTGCCTGGGTGGCAAGCGCAGGGTCCTGAGTTCAATCCCTGGTACCGCAAAAATAAGACACAAAAAGTAGACTTTAGAAAGTGACCTAGAAACATAACCATGTATGTCACAGTCACATCAGATGTATGATTATAAGCAGAGGACAAACTTATAAGCTGTATATAAATAAAAGACAACAGATTACCAAAAGAGAAGAATTCTAAAAGTAAAGAAAAATAGGTACAATTTGTGTGTGATTTCTGAAGAAACCAGCTTGACCTGGACATGCTGGGAATGACTCTGCTACTCTAACAGGAGAGCCCTGCAGCCCTCAGTGTGGTGTCACCTCTGCTGTGCCGCAAGACACAGAATGTGCCGGGGCAGGCCAATGCCTTGGTACTGAAAGTGTGTTGCTTAGGCTGGGCATAGTGGCACATGCCGTAATCCCAGCACTCGGGAGGCTAGGACAAGAAGGTCTGCATGAGTTTGAGACCAGCCTGGGCCACAAATTAAACTCAAGGCCAGCCTGAACTGCATAGTGAGACCCTATCTCAAGACCAAAAAAAAGGCACTTATTCATCAAGGTTCCCTTAGAGGCACCACGGCACTGTTGTTCGCCACATACCTACAATTCTGCACTTCTTCCTCGTCCTCCTCCTCACACCCTGTCGTACAGGGATCAAAACCAGAGCCTCTGCACTGACCTATGTCCCAGACTTCTTTCATTTTGAGACAGAGCCCTGCTAAGTCACTAAATTGCCCATGCTGGGCTTGAACTTGTGCTCTACTGCCTGAGCCTCCCAGAATACTGAGATCATAGGCGTGTGGTGCTACATTCAATTTCATTGCTGTTTCAAATGTCACAAGAATACACTTAAGGGACTCAAAAGTAAGAGAAAAGCTTTCAAAGAAAATCTCAAAGTAAGGCGATATGAAATGAACTAACATTTGTTACTGTGTATTTTCTTAAAAATCATCTTTTGTGGCTGTGGAGATAGCTCAGTGGTCTAAGCACCTGGCTGGCACAAGGATCCGGGTTTGATCCCCAGTACCACATGCTGTGCTAGTGCCACCTCTGGTGCCCCAAGCTGGCCACCAAGACCAGGTGTGGTTGTGCAAGCTTATAATCCCAGTGCTGAGGAGGCTGAAAACAGGAGGATCACTGTAAGTCTGAGCTGCATAGTGAGACCCTGTACCAAATACATAAAATTTTTAAAAACATGTTATTTTCTTAAATTTACATACAACTTAGAACAAAAAGGACTGCCTTATAAGATAAACTTCTTGTCACTAAAAACATTAAGCAGAAATAAAATATTTTCTAGAAAAGAAATCCTTGAATTTCAGAATGGTTAAACTAGAGAAACCTCTGGTCCTTTTAAGTTTATAATATTATGAATAACTCCTATATGAGATAATTAACTCTTAAAGGTTATACAATTAGGTACTTATTTGTGATTATTACAGACACATCTATGTTTTTTCAAACTTCTAAAATGAAAACTCCTTGAATTGAACCATCTATTCAAGCTGACAGCAGTTTAATAAGATCATTAAAAGAGCAGTTCTTGCTTTTAGGTTATATACCTGAGAAAAAGTGAGAAGAGCTGTCATCCTCGAGGATCCGCTTAAGAGATAGATAGTTACATTACGGTATTCCACACCTAAGCAAGCACAGCGCATTCAGGCTCTCACCAGATGCGCCCTGCCTTGGGCTCTGGCCCCCTGAGCTCCCTGCCATCGATCACCATCCTTCCCGGGAGGCCCTGCCCCTACCTCCCACCCAGGACTGAGCCCAGACAGGGCTCAGAGCTGGCAAACTGAAGGCCTTCAGTGTGGAAAGCTGAAGCCACACAGGGGGAAGTAACAGGCGCCAGCTTTCCCACTTCCTCTCCTTGTCCCTTGGTACACATGCTGGTCCGTTTCTAATGGTCCAACGGAAACAGGACGGACTCAGAGCTGCCCTCCCATCCACTTCCACCAGTTGGTCAGAGACTCTTCCTTCTTCAAGGGAAACCCGGGCTGAGCACAGCTGGGAGCGGGCGCTGGCCTGTGTGTGAGCAGCTCGTGCCCTGCATCGCATCACAGCCCAGCTCGGCTGAGCTGTTCCTGAGCACACTGAGGGAGACGGGAAGGTAAGAGGTCAGGGTCTGAGAGGCCAGGTGCAAAGCCCTCCATGCCCTAGACACTTCACGCTCACGGAGAGAGGAACCTTGGAAGTCGGCTGGACTGCTGGAAGCGCGCAGAGCAGCTGTCTTCAAATTCCCCTCAGACCACAGCTATTAAATACGCTCACTCAGGCCTCAGACACATACTGTTACTGTCCTAAATCACTTCAAATATAAAATGACTGAATGAATCTAATGTCACCACCACACCTCACCTGTGATTAGAAGCTCACCCTGAACCACCTCTTTATGCACTTTCTAACAGGGATGTCCGGACTGTGTGCTTCCAGCTTATGAGGAACAGAGCTATAGGATGGGTGCAAGGCCTTGGCAAAATGAAAGACAGAGCACCTTTTATCAACTGTCACAGGGGATGACTAAGCGATCTACAGAGTCCTGCCGATTACAGCTAGATAGGAAGATGATCTGCCAAAACTGCTGAAGCAGCGTACTCCAGCCAATGTTTCTACTTCTCTTTAGACAAGGCCTTCCTCTGGAGTCAGGCTGCCCTGGAACGCCCCAGGGACCCCAGCTGACTTCCAAGTGGCCGTCCTCCTGCCTCAGCTTCTTGAGTGCTGGGACTGCACGTGTGCTCCACTGCACCTCACCTGATACAACTTCAGAATGCTGTAATTCATGTCCTCTACACCAGGGTCAACTCCAAAGCTGACTTACGCATGGGTTAATCTAGCTATCTCTCAGACGCTTTCCCTCTCTGCAGTCGTCTGCAGCCTGTGAGCGTGAGCTGACTTGGAGAAGGGGCTCTGCAGGTGCAGCCAGGGGCGTGGCCCTGGGCTTGCTTTCATATGACACTGATAAAAGGCAGAGCAGAGACTGCAGGGCCATGGCCACAGGACAGGAAACGCTGCGGCCACCACTGCCGCAGGTGGCACAGACTAGCCTCCAGAACGTCTGCAGGAAGTATGCGCCTGCCGAAACCCTGATGCAGGCCTGGGACAGCATCTCGGACTTCCGCCCTCCAAAATGGTGGGAGGATAAGTGTCTGTTGTTTTCAACAATTAAAAGGTTTTTTTAAATTACATGTTCACTTTTTTTTCCTTCTATTTTTCTTGTTTTTTTGAGACAGGTCTTGCTAGGTAGTTTAAGCAGACCTTGAACTCACTATGCAGCCCAGGCTGGCCTTGAACTTATGGCAATCCTCCTGCCTCAGCCTTCTGAGTGCTGAAATTATAGATATGTTCCAATATGCCTGACTGCCACTTATTTTTTTAAATGACACTGATTAGGATGAAAAAGAAAGTAAGTTCTTTTTCTTTATTTTTTAAAATGCATTTGGTACAAGGTCTCACTATGCAGCTCCGACTCGCAGTGATCCTCCTGTTTTCAGCTTCCTCCGCCCTGAGATTACAGAAATGTGCCTCCATCCCCGTCTCCACAGCTGGCTCAGAGTCCTCGGGACAGGGCTGGTGTGGTGTGCGATTCCAGATTGAGCCCGTCCCTGTGTTTGCTTGCCTAAGCAGGAGCTTAGGGTAAATTCTTCTTCTATTGTCTTGTTGAAAATATAATTACTATCTATTTTAAAATACACTTCAATTGTTGATTTTCTCTATCCAGTTTTACATTCATAAAAGTTCCTGTAGTCCTTTGTACATATATGGAACTTGATTAATTTAATGAAACAAGCAAACATAGTTGAGACTAATGTCTCACCTTGTGATACCTATTTCTGGCCAAGTAGCCTCGCAGATACGCCTGCAGAACCACTGTCGCAGCCCTTCTCATCTTGTACTTCCTGCGGACCACAAACATGCGCCAGGACTTCTGAATGATGGTGGCCGCCTTGGTCCTGCGCAGGAACTTCGCGTAGCTGGCCAGGGAGACAGGAGAATAAAACAATGGTCAGAGAGCGGAAAGGACAGCGTCCGCGATCTGACATCCTGAGGGCAAGGGGAACAGTGCCTCCCGGCATGATTCTAATAATGTACTCCACAGGCTAACGCTTCTATTTACCTATATCATAGCAATCTGTAGTTTCCTAAAGTATCTTCACATTCCTTATTACAATTATCCCTTCACTTGCCCTGAAAAGTGAGCTGTCCCAGGTTGCAGATTTTACAACAAAGGGAGTAAGGCCCATGAAGGTCCCTTGCGCTTCTAGGACAGGGCTCCGGACCACAGCATGTACGCCCCTTTCTACTGCAGAATGGTGTACAGACAAGTCTTGTGCTTACTTATCCCCCGCTTTCTTAGCGCTATCATTACTGTGCTCTAAGTTTCCTGAACTTGAGTTCATGTTCCTCATTATTAGTCAATTTATACTTGTATTTTAAATTAGAACTGTCCTAACTCCATGGAAGTGGAATTCTTTTCCAGGCCTTCTTGGTCAACTGCTCCTGAAAGCACTCACCATTAGCTAGCTCATATCCATGATGATTTTAATTTACATATTACTTTTTTTTTTTTTTTTTTTTTGCGGAACCGGGGATTGAACTCATGCCCTTGCGCTTGCCAGGGAAGCACTTATTCCACTGAGCCATCTCCCCGGCCCTTACATATGACTTCTTCCAGCTCTTTTCAAAAGTATAATGCAAGAATTTTGGGAACCTGAGCTGGCAGCAATTCTTATGTTTGAGGATAAACCTAAATCATTCATATACAGCAAAGTAAAATTTTACTTCAACTTCCTCATGCATTCCTGTTGTTGTCTTTGAGACTAAGAAGGACAGAGACCTACCAACGGGCCTGGTAGCCGCGCACATGTCTCTGCAGGGTGATGGCTGCCCTCTGCATACGCAGGTACTTCTTCCTCAGCAGCCACCCCCGGATGGTCTTCTGGATCCGGATGCAGGCAGCCCGCAGCTTGTCTGCCCTCAGTTTCTCTAGATAGGCCACTTGCCCGGCACGGAAAAAGATCTTTGTTTTACCAAATTGGTATTTGTCCTTGTCCTATGTTAGGAAAAATTTGTATCTTAGAAAAAGATCACACAAAGAAAAGGTAAAAGAGAAAAAGTATATCTAAAAGCAGAGTTAGTAAAGGGATGAATCTATTTGCTAAAACTTGGGCTACATCTCAATGAACTAATGGAGCCAGATGTTTGATCAAATGCAAGTTGAGTACAGAAGGGATTTTAAGGAAACCATAGTTTAAGAGTTATTTTCCAGAATTATTCTACCTGGAATTATTATCTGAGGCCCAAAACTTGGTTGTGGGTTTAAGCAGCTATATTGGCTTGTTTGTATTTTAAACATCTCAAGGAAATGGACATGCTGACTCTCCCTCTGACTGACCCAGGCTGTAAACTCCATGAGCAAGCTGAAGGGACAAAAACACCAGCGTGAGGGAGGAGACAAGGACACATGCACAGGAAACAAAAGCTAAGAGCAAACAAAAACCAGAACCCATGGGGTATTCATAGTAAGAGCTAAATTTCTAGTCATCTTTTGACTTCTACAGTATCTAAAAACAAAGATTTATAAATGTGTTTCAAATCCTCTAAGTTTCATACTCCTTTCACAAAAATATAATCATTTATATTATTCAAAGGCTTAAGTGTATGCAAAGCTGAACAGTAAATACAGTTAAGCATATTTTTTGGGTGGTTTGCCTTATCCAGAAGCATGCAAAATATTAACCATTTTCTTATCAAGAGTGGAATTAATGTACAGTGATCACTGCTGTGATCTAAAATGCTGAGAAAAAGAGAAAATTACTTTTAACTGTACGTAGATACCTCCCATCTTAAATGTGAAACCAGATAATCAGAAACTTCCACATGTATCTAAAAAAATCTAAACGTATTCAATGAAGTTAACGAAGGAACCCTGCGCAGGAAGGGGTGCTCGCCGTCGCCCCGCGCCCCTCCGCAGCGCCCCGTCTCCCGCATGTCCTCCACTGCACCTGCACCCGAGCAGGCCTGGTGTGTGTGTGGGGGGGAGAACTGTCTCAGCACTAGTAGAGCTTCGGAATGCACTACTAAGAAAGGCTGTCGATCTCTCAAACACAAAAGATCACCACCACAGAAGAGAAATCAGACTTAGCTAATAACCGGTAATTGTGACGACTACCTCAAATTGAAATAATCTATGTGGACTGCTGTCAAATAAATACCGTCTTTTTAAAAACAAAGATGCTTAAATCCTTCCTAGATCAGTGACTGGCTTGGTAGAAACGCAGGTTGCCAGGCCCACCTCAGACCCTCGGAATCAGCTACGAGCTGCCTGTGCTTGGCCAGCCCTCAAGACACTGCTCACGACAGGAAACCGCACGGAGGCAGCGCCCTCCTGGATTTCTCTCCACGGCCCCACTGCCATGAGCATGTCTCACACAGCTCCCTGACCATGTTTTCGGTTTTGGTTTTTAGTAAACTGTGTGCTTTTCTACTTCTCACAGCCTGGTATTTTTAGAATATTTTCTTCCACTTTTCTACACTCTCACCCATTCTCCAAGGCCTGACCCAAAACAAGCTGTTCGTCCTTGTTGCTGGTGGATTCGGCTTGGCCTTGCTCTGGCTTCCTGCCTTGCTCTCTCACCACTCTACATGAACACTAAGGCGCCTCTCTTCCACACGTTCTCTGGCGAGGCACACTGCCCACTAACTTCTTCCTAATTCCATGTTCCCTGGCCTGTGTTTTCCATGCGTAGTAAGGGCTGCCTGGGTCTCCAGTCTGGGTGCGGCCTGACTATTCTGCTCCCTCCAGGGCCCCAGCACCCTGGACACAGTAAGTCTCTTTTTCAGCCACCCTCCAGTCGTCTGGATGAGGGACATGCTAAATGCAAGGCTCAGGGCTTTCGCAGTCAGAACTATGTTCACAGAAAGGAAGTGAAAATCTTCCTCACCAGTATCAGTTTCTCTAACACCTTCTTGCATGTCTGCTTCCGGTCACCCAGCACATCTTTTTGCTTCATTAGGACACGATAGCGGCTGAAAAATTCTTGGTAAGTCCACCTAGGGAAAAAAGATCGTACTGCCTTAAAGAACTGGGTCTGGAGTCTGTCTCTTGGGATGCTGCCTTACACTGGAAGAAGACCAGGCTCACCGTGAGGGGAACCCCGCCGCGCTGATCCGGATAGTCTCCAGCACCCCGCACGCTCTCAGTTGCTGCACTGCCCTTTTCTCATCAAACCTGCAGGTGAAAACACACGGTCAGGCCACAGCAGCCAAGTGCAGCCCGTCCTCGGGCAAGGCTCATACTCTTCTGTGAAAGCCCAAGTGGACAGCTGGAGAGCAGGAAGCACTCAAAAGCCAGAGCCTGGTTGAAATGGCAACGCATGCCAGAGCAGCCAAGGCTATTAATGTAACAACAGAGCTGGAGACGCCCGCCCCCAGGTCACAGCCCGGCTCCTAAGAAAATCCATTACTACTCTAAAACAAACAGCTATGAGAGTCCTCTGCACTTTGCCCAGACTTAATGGCATGGGCCAGCCTGACTACAGTTCTCTGAACTCATTGGCTTGTCCAACAGGCCCTCTGGAATAAAAGACTGGCTAGGTGGAGACTCTCCTAACAGGAGGGACAAATTAAATACACTCCATTCAGTTGCTTCTGAAAAACAATGGGTGTTCTAAAAGCAACCTACTATGCCCACATTTACTGTGCCCACACTGAACCCACACCCATGAAAGCATTTGCATGTTGTCTTACACTTCATATTGATTTCACTCTAGGCAAATGGCTTCTTAACACTAAAAGGGGAACTAGAAAGTCCTCCCTCCAGCCAGAGGATCACTGGGCTGCTCTCACAGGTAAACTCTGAGCAATCTGCCCGGGCCTTCTCCTGTGCTGTCTTTGCACAGGCCAGGCTTCCGGGGCTGGTAGCTTCCTGCTTCCTCCAGAGCAGCTTCCTGGGGAGAGGGGCACAGGTCTGCTGTCTACCAGAACTGCCCTCCAGTCCAAGGCAGAATCTCAAGGGAGGAGGACTGGCAGGGCGCAGGAGACACCTGAACATGTGCAGCGGGAGCCATGACAGCCTGGAGTACACACGCATGGTCTCTAAACTCCAAATTGAAACACAACATTTGTATTTATGGAATGCAGCATGCATGGTATTTTTTAATTAATTAATTAACTAATTGGTATAGAGTGTTGCTGTGCAGCTTGGACTCATAGTGATCCTCCTGTCTCAGCCTCCCTCGTGCTGGGATTACAGGCATGATGGCACCATCATGCCTGGTTTCAGTGGCCAGCAGAACGCACCCGAGGTTCCAGGGCTGGCACGGCAAGCGGTACCAGGGATCAAACCCAGGTCCTTGCACTTGCCAGGCAGGCACTTAGACTGCTGAGCTATCTCCCCAGCTCACACCATGGTATTTCAATACATATATACCATGTGAAAGGATCGAATCACATGCCTAACCTTTGAAGCACAAACTCCACTTCTAGAAAATGTTATCTAAGTAAATAATAAATATTTATTATAGCACTGTAATATAATAATAATGTATATTACAGCACTGCTAGGACCACCTAAGTAATCATCCACAGGGAACAATTTAAACAATGATGGTATATCTAAACCACAGATACTCTGCAGCTATTAAAATGAGGATATGGATTTTTATGTACTAATATAAGGAGTATCCACAATCTGTTAAGTTAAAAACAGGGAAAAAAAACCCCAGCAAATATATCACAAAACCCTTGCTTCTGATAGGCTTTCCTCTCCCCATCAACATCTCTCTCTAACACACAAACACACTTGAGGACAGCAGGGGAAGGAAGAGATGTTGGTTAGTCAAGAAGGTTCTATGCCAGTTAGTACCAGTTATCTACCTTTCTGGGTATGCCAGATACTTTTTCATTTGTTTTTATACTAGCTTATATTTCCTGAAGATTATTTTCAAAATGTAATACAGTAATTTCTGTTTTGCTTTGTTTGTTGGGGCAGGGTCTCACTATGTAATTCAGACTTGCCTTGAACTCACTATGGAGCCCAGGCTAGCCTCAGACTCATTAGATCCTCGTGCCTCAGCCTCTCAAGTGCTGAGATTACAGGTGTGTACCACCACACCCGGATTGTAATGTATTAATTTTAAAATTACAGAAGTAGACTTCTGCTTGTGGGAAAAAAACTCTCCAGAAAGATTCATTCTCACACATAGTATTCGAACGAGACATTGGCAGACTAGTCATTCTCTGATGGCTTGAACAAGTGAAAAGTATCAACAAACCTCTGCCAAGCAGGTCTATCCCCACCAGATCTGGCTTTAACTATGCCCAGAGTAAAAGACTTTGACCTGAGGTAGGCTCAACACAGAAAAAGAACCAGACAGACTTGGCTAAAGCCTCAACTTTTCAAGTTTCAGAAGGCTAACCGTGAGTCACATTCTCAAGGGAAACAGGAGTTTAAAAAGTCTATTAATTAGTATTTTCCTCAACAAGACAAGAAGATTTACCCAAACATCTTCCTTATGTGGCCTTGGCAATCCATTAACATGAGCATTCTCCTTCAGCAGAGGGGGACTTACGTGAAGGGAAACTTGAAGTCGTTTGGCTTGATACAGCGCACATAATGAGGAGTGGTGGCGTTGAGGGTCTCCATGAGCAGGTGGAGGGAGTTTCGGAACTGCATGGAAAAGGACAGAAAGGGAGGTGGAAGTTTGGCTTTCAAAAAACCTATTAGTTTAGGAAGGGAGAAACAGAGAAAATGGTTAACGGGTAAGAGGCATCATTGGTAATGTTGTATAACACTGTAAGATGACAGTAGTTGACAAATATCATAAATTAGCTGGAAAAGATGGCAAAAATGGGATAAAATAATTTCAAACTCTCTTCCTGTGACACGAGTGGGATGGCAGCTGCCTGCAGACCTATCCCATCCACAGAGAGGGCTGCTACTCATCGAGAGCACCAGGGCTTTCACTAACCTGGCTGCGCTGCCGTGCACACGCGTGCCCTGCTGCCGTGCACACGTGTGCCCTGCTGCACACGCAGCCACCCTATACTCTTCCTCCCTGGCCAGGAGCTCGCTCAGTGTCCCAGATGGACTCCAGCTCGGGAGGCTTAGGGCTTCTGTGCTTCCTGGTGTGAGCTCATGATACACAACTCACAGTATAGCTCCCTGGAGAAAACTAAGGCCATTTAATGAGGTAAGCAGGAATTCTGCTGTTAGGCCTGCAAAGGACAGCAGATGTCTTAAAAGAGTATAAAGAACAACTGGAATGGGCAAGCACAGCGAGAAAGCAGTTACTAGGAGGAACAGGGTACAGGGCAGCGCACTGGTCTCCCTCCCAACACCCCTCTACATTCAGGAACCAAGCACATGTGCACCAACCAGTTCCCGCTCCCACAGGCAGAAGACGCGCAAGGGGAGAGCGTGCACGCTGCACTGAAAGAGCTGACCGCTGCTCTGCAGACACAGAGGCAGAACAGCCAAACAGCAAAACAAGGAAGCAGCCGGCTGAGACAGGAGAGTGGGGGAGAACCAGGCTGAGGAGAAAGGAGAGGTCTAGCGTGCTGGTGCGAGAGAAGCCCGCGCCTCACCTGGAGACCTGGGGGAGGCCTCCACACTCGATGGGCAGGGCTGGCGCAGCCCCACTCACCTGGTGCCCCACCGTCTTCTTGTGCTCCTTGGCCATCTGGCCTGGCCTGCCTTTGGCAGGCTTCACAGAAGCACGGCTGAGGGGTGTGCGCCCCGAGGACACTGCTGAGGTGGGGCTGATGACCTTCTCCTCATCTTGAAAGAGTTCTGGTAGCATCTTAAACTGCATCAGAGACAGCAAAAGGAAGTAACATTAAACGCACATTCCAGAGTAACTTCATCAAAAAGAAAATCTGGGGACTTTCAACAGCAACTCCTCTCCTACACGTTCCATGGCAGAGCCACAGCCCAGTGTCTGCTTTAGGAGGCCAAAAACCCATGGGAAAGAGAAGACAAATGTCACAAAAACGAAACTACAACCATGTTTGGAGAAAAACAAAAGTATCGCACCAAGACTTGAAAGCCTAATCCACAGGAAATGGCCACTATAAACATATAATTGGTTTTGAACTGTAGCTTTTTTTTTTTTCCTACTGAACCGGGGATTGAACTCAGGCCCTTGTGCTTACCAGGGAAGCACTTATTCTACTGAGCCATCTCCCTGGCCCTGAACTGTAGTTATTTTATGAGCAAAATATTAAGTGAATGTCCTATCTTATTACCTCACTTTCACAGAAGGTTCTATCATCAGGTGGACAGAAAAACAGTCCGAGTTGCAAGTTCTTTGTCCACGGCTCACTCACCTGCCTCCTGTGCCCACCTTCTAACTCAAGTGCTGACACTAATGCACAGTGTCACTGCCCTCAATGTCATGAGATTAAAAGTAACTATGAATCAGTAATCTTTAAGAAAACAGTCAGACATGGAGGTGCATACCTGCAATCCTAGCACTCAAGAGGCTGAGGCAGGAGGATCACTGTGAGTTCCAGGCCAGCCTGGGCTACACATTGGGTCCAATCTCAAACAAAACAGTTTTCATTGTGAAAAAAAGTAAAACCAACCACAAAAAATTCATTTTATCCTGTGAATTTTTGTTTAGTTTTCAAGGGATTTAGAACTTTAACATAATACCTACAATCAATTGTTGGTTCTATTATGCTATAAAAGACTATCTGATATTTAGGTAGGTGGACAGTATTAGCCAATGCCAAATTCTATATAAATAAAATAAGTCATGCACAGCCAGGACAACTTTGTAAGATACCAACTCAAAATTGAAAATAAAAAGGCCAGGGATTTAACTCAAGGCAAAGGCTTTGGGCTTAATACCCAGTACTGCAAAAGAAAAAGTAAATCAATCCTTTGTACAAATGAAGCTATATTTATTTGCAACCCTGTTATTTATCTAGTAATCTCAGAAAATCTCTGGAATTTTTTTTCATACAGGAGTTCTTTCACTGAGGGTTGGGTCATGGCCCAGTAGCAGAGCACTCGCATGAGGCTCTGGGTTTTGGCCCTGCGCCACCAAAGGGGACACAGTGTCTTTCACTGAGGTTCACTTCACTGTGATTTCATTGATTATGAATGTGTATCAATCATGATGTACTCTGGGAAATAGTTCATGACATGTATACCATCAATACTTGGCATGTGGAACATCAATTCATTTGTTCAGTTGCTCAGTGAACAAATGAACGCATTCTCTGCTCTGAGAAATTAAAAACATGCCAGTCATGGTGGTGCATGCCTGTAATTCCAGCACTTGGGAGGCTGAGGCAGGAGAAACACTATGAGCTAAGGGCCAGCTCAAGATCTACAGTGGGTTCAGGCCAGCCTAACCTGCAAAGCTCAAAATAAAATACTAGAAATATTATTTCAAAATAACCTGTCTCAAAATAAAAATAATAGAAAGAAGAAAGAACAAGAATGAGGAGGAGAGGGGAGGCAGAAAAAGGAAGAAGAAGAAGAAATAATTAACAATATATGTCTGAATAAACTTTTCAAACTACAAAGAATTAATTTTCACCTCTAAGGAAAAATGATGATCTTCTACTTATTAAAGTTCGACTTTATTTTTAGCTTTATGGTGGTAGGAAAGCGATAAGCACATGGCAGAAACCAGACTCTGAGCCAAGTCCAGTGTCCTCCCGAGCTGGCATGCCTGGTGCCACATTTTCTTTCCCCATGGGCAGCGGCAGGGTGACATCTGATACACACCGTGTGGCCCCTGGCTTAGGAACATGTCTGCTGTGTGTTTTCACGTTTCATCTTATGTACATAGTCTCATCTGTGACTCCTGTACTCACACATCCACTCTGTTTCACTTTCAATACAGGATTTGATAAACATTCCACATTCAAAATAAAGAATAAGAAAAGTCAATAATATATTCTGGCTTTGTTGGTTAAAAAGAACAAATGTTTTAACATTATCCTCCATACAACACTGAAGTTCTGTTCCAGAGAGGAAAGTCCCAGTGGATCCAGCGTGGAAACTCCACACAGGACTATGATGCCAGGCTGCTCGAGGACAGGCCACATATTCAGAGTCTTTTCTATACTATTCCCAATTGAATGGCAGGCTCTATGTTAGCACTTGCCTAAACTCTTTCTTCCATGTGAAAAAGCTGTAACTGTTAGGCTGCTGCATCACACTCACCAGTAGGTGCTACAGTTTAACTTAATAACTGTATTATCTACTGGGAAACAGCTTAGTTCCCAGATACTTATGTACCTGTATGGGGATACTTCTTCCATATATAGACTATGAATTTAAAATTCTCTGCATAGATTTTTCTTTAAAAAATGAATGAGTGAGCCAGGCATGGGGACATATGCCTGTACTCTTAACACGAGAGAGGCTGAGGCAAGAGGCTTGCAAGTTTAAACCCAGTCAGAGCAACTCAGTGAGGCCTTCTCTCAAAAAATAAATAAATAAAAAGAGCTAGGAGTACAGTTCAGTGAGAAGACCCTGGTTCAATGCCCAGTACTGCAGAAACAAAATCAAAACATGCATTTTAATTCTTGAATAAGAGATGACTCTGTGATTTTTATGGAGGAGGCCCCTGCTTCCTAACAGGCTAGTTCATCAGAGCTCATTCCTGGCTCCTCTGCCAGGCTCCACCGCAGGGTGCCTGGGGCCTCTGGCCTCACTGCTCCTCCTGCTCTACCCAGACTGTCCCTTGAGGGGACCTCACTGAGGCTCAGGCTTAAAGGCCACCAAGCTCTGACAGCTATACTTCCTGGGATATGCTTGGCCCTCCCCCGAGCCCGCCTCCCTTTCCTTCCGGTTCCCCACATGCGGCAGCCACTTGCTACCCACTTGTGATGCAAGCACGCACATCTAAGCAGACACAGACTGATTTCCCACTGTACCGCGAGCGAGCGCTGCACTTGGGTGTGCTCTCAACTGGAGGGGCAACTGTGATAGAGCCACGCCCTGGGTGGGTTTCTGCAAAGCCTGGGAGCAAGGGAGGCCTCGAGGCTGTGACTGGTAAATGACACACTGTCCCCACGCCAAGGGCAGACATTGAACCAGCTTAGTTCCCAAGAAAAAACAAAGTTACAACAAAGGTGTGACGGCTTATGGGTGCTTCAGGAGTAAGAACCTCTGTTCTGTAGAAGGTTGGTCATTCTGGCAGATGTTAACAGGAGACTATCCTGGTTTATGTCACTCTCCACAAATCAGTGATTAAGATCTTCAGTTGAGTAATACTGAAAGACAGGCACTGAGAACATCAATCCTGAAAGCTACGAGGCATCGATCTCAGTGCCTATTAACTAAAAGACGATACTCACTTTTTCTATAGACACATTACTTTCTGGCAGTTACAGGTGAGATCGGGTCTTTGTATGACTTTTGTTATCAAAATAATGGAGGCCGGCCTGGGCCGTAGGGCTGGCGAGGAGGCCTGCCCTGGAGCAGTGAGCCTCGGGCTCCCGGGGCGGGGGCAGGAGGAGTGATGTCGAGTGGGGCACCAGGGTGGGGCGGGGGACGGGAGAAAACTACCAACTTGCTGAGCGCGCTCCTGATAATGCTGGTGAGGGTCAAGTTGGCATCTGGCTCAAAGAAGGG